GTCTGTCTATCTATCTAGCTGTCTATCTAGCTATCTATCTAGCTATCTACGTAGCTATCTTTCTAGCTATCTATCTAGCTATCTGTCTATCTGTCTGTCGGTCTGTCTATCTATCTATCTATCTATCTATTTATCCATTTATCTACCTAGCTATCTACCTAGCTATCTACTTAGCTATCTACCTAGCTATCTACCTAGCTGTCGACCTAGCTGCCTATCTAGCTATCTCATTATCTATTTATCTTGCTATCTATATAGGCAATATCGTTTCATGTTTGTATGGTGTCATGAGTGACTTGGCAATGTGGCATATCACATCTGGTATGACATGAAGGTAAGGTTCGGGACATCAGAGCAAAGGCCCGAACTCCATACTCAGAGCGAGGCATCTTTACCCCAGGCATAAAGGCTGCCAGACTTTCGCTTCGGTTTCTTCCAGTTGGCCTGTGTGTGAAGTGCAGAGGTAACAGGCATGCTTTGCCCCCAGGCCCTGAAACTCGCTGCCTGCATGAAGGCACATCCTAAGCTTCTGTGCCCTGCCGTACACCAGATGAGCCCAGACTCCGCTTCAGAAGCCCTAAGCCCTGAACCCGGTTGTTGTCCATATGTTATGGCTGTCACACTCGGCAAGTACCCCTAACCCAGGCATGGGAGTTTCTGCCCTCAGGCGGAAAAACGGCCCGCCAAGAAGAAACAAAACAACCAGACACTTGCCCCAGATCCGAAACCCAAAGCCCTTGCCGGGCGGGTCCCAAAGCGCAAGACCCCAAGCTTGGTTTGCAGGAAGCCTCAGGTTGCGCTTTGCGAACTTCCCGGAGCTCTGCTCTGTGGAGCGAAAGGGGGGGGAGGGTTTGGGGTTCAGCGTCCTCGGGATTCGGCGCTTCGTAAACGAGTTAAAGCTTATGATAAGGGTTACTATCATGGTTAGCGGAAAGGTTGCTAAGGCTAAAAGGGTTTGCAGATTCGTGATTGCAAGGGCGGCTACGGTCACTATGAGTGTGTGTTCGCAGAAGAGGTATGCAGGGATGGAGCTCCCATGCAAGAGCACCAAAGCGGCCATTGTGTTGTTTCAGCAGCTGAAGGTGTTTGGGAATGGGTCTCTTGATCACAGACTGAATGGTTTTCGTCTCAGTGAGTGTGATCACACAGGGGGAAGTTAGAAGCTTTGAAACTGGCTGGACCTCGCTGAGCATCTGCTGACTTGGGGCCATACTTCAGCGAAGGCCATTGCCTGGATGTAAGTGCCAGTTCATCAGACCTTTTAAAGCAGCCCATGCTATTTTTTCTGCAGTTGTGTATGTTTGGACTTGCGACACCAGACGTTGAATCAAGCCGATGGCTGACCAAGAGCCCGCTTCGCGAGCTCGGCAGCACAGACGCCAAACTATTGTGTGCGTGTTTGCAGGCATACGAATATTCTGGAGCTGCATGGCCTTGGTCCGCAAGACTTCGACAGGCGGCAGTCGACGCCGGAGTTCCTCGCAAGACTTCACGTGCCGTCCGTTTTTCGAGAGCTTGGGTAAGTGGACAGCCTGGACCCAGCAAGCGGGCCATCCGAACCGTCAGAGAGTCACGGCGACGAAGACGACAAAGCTTCAGGCGACGAGGGTAGGTGACAGCACGAAGATACGACCCCACCAGCAGGGACTGCAGGCGCAGGGAAGAATCGTCGACATCGCCGACAGTCTGAGATGCTCTTCAGCGAAAATCCATAGATGTGGGGGAGTGAGGAAGGAGTCGTGTCTCGTTCATGGTGACTGAGCGCGTCCTGGCTTCGCGAGCGCGATGGAAACTTTCTGGCCAAAAAAAGTACGAGCCAAGGGCCTTGGAAGCTTCGGCGGCCAACAGAAGTAGCAGCCAAGGCTTTCCGAAGGAAGGTTTTCCTGTCATTGATGTCTTGCTGATGCAGGCCTAGAAACGCAGGTGCCCAAAGAACGTCCAAAGCAGTACATGGCGTGGTGGGGGTGGGAGTAGTAGAAGCCCCCCTATCAGCCTATCAGCCCAAGCTTCGGGAATGCAAGCCGCGTTTCAGGAGATGCGCCATCTTCGTCCTGAACCTCCGCCAGTGCTGCCGGGGCAACAGCCCCAAAGAGGAAAGGCTCCGAGACATTCAGGGGGAGGGTGACCCTCTATTGGCAGAGTTCCAAGAGAGCTGCCAACATCCGTGCCGAGTTTTCCAATCCGTTGTCTTCCCTCGTGTGCTATGGGCAAAGCCCGGCTGAGTCATGCTGAACTGGTCAGCCGAACTTCGAGGTCCTGCTTACTTGGCCTTTGTGCTTGCCTGCGGCGCTTCTCTGCGTGGCTCTGCAGGCACATCTGCTGCCAGCTGGTGTGAGATGATTCTGCAGCGTCGTTTCGTTCAGTGCGTTTTCAGATCTTTGTTGAGCACAGCTGTCGACGGCCGATGCACCGAGGTTCGAAGTTCCAGATGTTCCACACTATGTTGTTCACCTGATCTTGATTAAAGTTGTCTGAAGACCCTTCGATGCTCCAAAGCCTGATGCCGTGCAGGGTTTACACTTTACAAAGATCCCAGCCGATGGCTAAAGCGAAGCAGCGTCCACGAGCCACAGCATTTTCTTGATGTTCGGCCCCCCCCAACGAGGCACTGCCTGTGCTTGCATCGCTTGTAGGCTGGCAGACCAGTTCTGTATAGTTGTGCAACTGCCTGGTGGCGTGTTGTGCCATGGCAGAGACTGAGAAAGCTGTGGACGTCCCCGTGACAAAGACGCCCAAGGAGACACGAAACTGCAGCTGCATTAGCATATGAGATATCCTTACCCGGGGTTCGCAAACCGTTGTCTTCAGAAGCCGCTTAAGCGACACATGTGGTATGTGAGGACGACACTTGCATCAAGTCGTGCTGGGTCAGGGATTCTAGTATCTAGTGCTCTGTCCCAAGCATAGAAGAGACCCCGCAGGACAAGAAGGCGGACTTCGACCAGTTTTTCGCCGAGCTGCGAGGCAGGGGTGTCGCTTTTGTTGGGGAGCCGGGAGCTGCTGACATTCGGCTTCCACGGCAGGGTTTCGACCCAAGCCACCCTGCTAGCCCACACCTGGGAAGCTACCGGACTACCGGAACCCATTCGTGAGTGCTGCAGCTTTCGTAGTAGGAGAGCTCGGGGACGATGACTTCCGCAACTTTCTGATCACCCTCAGCGGCGGTGGCCCGCGCCGCATTCCGAGCCCTGGCCTCCCTTATGCCGGCGTTTTTGCTCAATATAGGGGCCTTAATAATTACCTAGTATTTTTGGGCTGTCCTTTAGGATTGGTTGCTCTTTGAGTGAATATATGAGTGAGCCATGGGGTTTGGGGGCATTCACTACAAGCTACAATGACTGCCTGAAGGGACTCCGGTGAGCGTCGAAAGGGTTGAGTGGAGTCAACGTACTGTTCTCCGGCTTGTCGCCTGGCCATCCAGGTCTTCATTCACCCAAACCCAAACCACCAATCAAGATTCAGGGCGACCAAAGCTCGCATGTGGAATCCAGGTACCACCCGCAGAAGTCCCTCCACAAGGAGCTGTTCGAGCCTAGGCAGGAAGCAAGGTCGTTGTAGGGGGTCGTCGGCTTTCGAACTCCACGCCAGTGACTGCATGATCGCTCGGGCGCCCCGCAGGCTTCTGTGCCAGGCACCGGATCGAACTATCAAAGAAGAGACTCGAAAGGACTCGAAGGTAGACCCCTGTCCCAAGATCCCAAGGATCCTCAGCTCTGGCGGCGCTGGATCGATCCCTGCGTGCTCTCCTGTCTGTCCAGGCCAGCTGAGCTGTTTTTGGCCTTTAGGGTTACAGGGTTCCAGTCTGTAAGGTCCCGCCCCTCCTGGATCTCAGGTCTGCAGCATTTGTGTCTGGGAGGGTTTGTCATGCTCAACATCGTTGTGGCATTGCCTGCTACGTGGCACGCTCGTGAGAGCGAGAGAGGGAGGGTGTGGGTCTTGGCACATAGCCATGGTTTTGAGTTTTCAGGGTCTTTCTACAGAGTTTTTGGGATTTAAGCTTGGGTGTTAAGATGTTAGGACTTTAGGATGTTTGGGGGCGTTCAGAGCTTCAAAGAGACCGAGAGAGTCGCGGAGGTGGCACGAGGCTGGGGAGCCCCGAGCTGGACTTGGCCAGGTGGAGCCTTGCCTTCTTCGGAGTGCAGGGGTACAGGGTTTCGGGTTTCGGGGATCAGTTTAGGGTTCCAGGATTTAGGGCTTCAGGGTTATTGGCCGGGCGAGCTCCAATCAAGCCTGTGTAAAAAAGGGCATCAGGGTTTCTGAGCTTTCGTAGAATGCTCGTCTCCTCCTGCAAGTTCTTGGGACGGTGCAACACTGGAGTCGGAATGATTGCTGATCGGATCTCCTTGTGATTCCCTCCGTAATTTTACTCTATGCTCGCCCCCCCAAAGCCCTATTCTAAAACGTTAAGGCCTTTATACCCACAATCTCTTGTAGAAACCCTGATGGAGCCCTTACAGGCTCAAAGGAGTCCTAGTCTAATCTTCGAGGCCCCCATATCAGCCGAGTTGTCTCGAAGCAGTGGAGCTGCGAACTTCCAAGGACCTCAGCGCGCTGCCGGGTCTCCAGGCCAGCCCGCCGAGTCGCGAGATGAAAGATGGTAGGGTAGAGCCCTTTTATAGTGGCCCTTCTAGCACCCTCATGAAGGGCTAAGAGGAAGGCTTCTAGACTTAAGGTTGAATTGAAGCTCTGAAGATGCTGTGAAGTGGGTTTGGTTTCGTCCGTCCGGGGCAGTCTTGGCCAGGAAGTGGATGCCTTCGCATTCCTAAGGCCTCAACAATGAATCTCCCACATCAAGCGCGAGACCTTGAGACCTCATCTGACAAGTCCAAGTTGCGAGAGGGTAATTAGACCTTAAACCCTAAACCCGAGTTGCGAGAGTCCAAACCCGATCGAACCGAACCACCTCGAATGCATGTCCGAGTTTCGAAGTCCAAACCCAAAACCCCGCTTGACGAGAAAAAAGGCCCTAAAGCAGGTCCGCGCTCCGGGAGTGGTGAGCTTCCCTTTCTTCACGCACGAGTTTTGCGATCTGGTTGCTCGGCCTGCAGGCTTTGGGCCAAAGAAATTCGAGTCTCAAGGCCCAGAAAGTCCGGGTCGTGCCGGGGATTTTGGGATTTTGGATCTCCTGGTGTTGCAGTGTTTCATGCCTTCAGCCTTTCTTGGGGCTCACGAAGAGCTCATTGGGGCTGCGCTGCACGCAAGCGACTTGCGATGCCACATCCCGGTGCTGAATGAAGCCTGGAGCGAGCCCTTGTTGCTGTGGAACTGAGGTCCTCGAAGAGGTGCATCATTACCAGGAGACTGCTGGCTTAGGGCTTCAACCGCTTTTGATCCGATGGTTTACGGCCTTTGATTTAAGGATTTTGGGCTAAAGTTAGGCTTACGGCTAGGCGGCTAGACCTTTCAGTTGCAGGCAGGTGTTCGAAGATTTGTTGTCCATGGGCTTGGTGGTCCGTGTCCATACTGGTGACCGGAGTTGCTTTGTCCTACAGCAGCGGTGTGTTACAAATCAAGTTTCCCAGGACCTGGGAATGCCAGGCCGGCCGCCCAACACCATGCACCCTGTTTGTATTGGGGTTCTGGCTCAAGATGCCCAGTCTTTGGCAGTCTGACAGGAGGTTGGCTCTTCTTTTCCTTGCGTGTGTGCAATGGAAATATGGAACCCTCAGGATCCTGTCGGAACAGCTGCATAAGTCGCATCGCCACGCTGAGGAATAACTATGGCCTGGTCTTAAACGACATCGGCCTCAAGCCAGTGTTCAGTACCTATGGCAGTTCATTGGAGCTTTCGAAACTTGCAAGCTTGGAAGGTCTGTAATCAGGCACACCATGATCCCGATTCTCGATTGTCTTTCTGTCTTTCGTTTCAAACGGAGTAGCGGTTAGCTGAAGTTCGCTTCTTGGCAACAAGCCATTTCAGAACACAGACTCGAAGACTGCCACGCCGCTGCGCTTTTAGACTAATCGCTGCCGTTTGTGAGTTTTCAGTTTCTTCGATATTGAGGAGCTTCCGTCCCGGGCTCATGAGAAGTCATACCATTTACACAAGTTGGAAAATGAGTAGCAGGCAGTGCGTCGCTTTTGAAAAGAGGTTTTGGGGTGTGGCGAGCAGCCGCTGCAATCGTTGGTTATTCGTGCAGGACTGGACTGTGCAGTTTCGTTGTTGTGTGATTCTCTGTGTGTGTGTATGCATGCCTGCATGCCTGCATGTACGCACGCACAGTAGGTATCTGCATGCGTACATACACGTACGTACGTAGGTAAGTAAGTAAGTAAGTTTGCATGTATGTATGTATGTGTGTACGTAGGTACGTACGTGCGTAGGTGCAGGGCTGCGCATGTGTATGTCCGTGTATGTATGTAGATGTATGTATAGGAATACACATCATGTGAGCACGAACGGGCCACCCTAAAGAGAATCACGAATACCTAGTGGCCTAATGTCAGCTAAGGCAGCATCCTTGAGCACGTGCTGCTGCCATTCGGGGCTCGCATCTTCGGCTCCGAGGCCTCTCCATTCTTGACATGCGGCATCTCGCAGAGAACCCGATGCCACGTCTTCTAAGCTCTTCTAAGCCGTGTAGGGTTCAGGGTGTTGGGTACGAAACTCAAATCCTTCCTTACATCTTGTGCTCCGAATCCAGAGACACTCCAGAGACCCAGACTTCAGCTCCTTCAGCAATGCAGAGGAGGACAGGCTCGACGAGCTGAATGGTCAGAAGCTCTGCACCGAGACTTGGAAATGAGATCGAAGCTTTGCTTGCGGTGCCAGAAGCGCTTCTACTTACTTGTAGATTTCAAGGTGCAGGAACTGTGGGACAAGGTTTGGAATGCGTTGATGAGTACCTGTTGAATGGCGATGTTGGTTTTCTCCATTGTACTTGTGGTTTGCGGTCTGCAACTCGCTGTACAGCTGCTGGATGCTTGAGGCTGACTGGCAGTTCAGAACTCGAAGCCCTCCAAACAAAACTAGTTGACCACCAAGGAGAACTGGGGCGGTTCTGTCCTGGACGAGCACCACACGTTTGTGGTACAGTATGCGTCGCTCGATTGGACTTCCGCAGGCTGTCAGAGGCAGTTATGAGAGTAAGAGCTAAAATGCAGGTCGGGCAGACGTGTGGAAGCATCCTTACTCATTAGTTGCTTCACATTTAGGAATGGTTCTCTGACAAGTTGGCTGGCATGACTTATGCGAGCATTTCTGCAAACCCCTCGTTCAAACACTTGCAAGGCATATGGTTGTTGGCAAACAGGGGCCCAAACCTTCATAGAAGTGTGCTGTTATGTGCTGCTTAGTTTCTTTAGCCCGCGGCCCTGTTGATATCAATCGTCTTCTTTTTGAAAGGCAGTTGATGCTCTGAACTCTCTACCTTCCCAGAGTCCAAGAGTCTTTTTTGTGTGTTTCAGGGTTCGGAAACGATAGAACTCGTGAAGTGCTGAAGGACTCTGGTGAAAAACTGAGGGGAGCGATGTAACGAACAACGAGCAAGTAGAATCCGGCAGGACCCCGACGTCACTGCACCTTCTTGAGGCAGCACCCCTTCCGGGTGTTGCGGGTGCTCCTATAGGAGAGAGCTGTGAAATCGACCCGAGGCCGAACAATGACAAGCACTTGGACATGCACATCGACGAATGCGATGTGACATTCAACTTTGGGCTCTCCGCTGAAAACATCACGGGCAGTGAGCTGGCGATCCTCGGCAGCAAAGAGGGCTAGACTTGCCGGGAATTTCTAGCTTCTGCATCTGGGGGATATTAAAGCCGGGAATTTTTAGCTTCTACATCTGGGGGATTTTGAATAAACAAGCTGGGACAGCTTGGACGGAGCAAGCAGCGCGAGCAGCTTCGAAAATATGTACTGCCGGTTCACGCAATGAGGTCAGGTGAAGACGGCCTTGGCTTTCCAGCAGTGCTGCCGGGTGCAGCTAGCCAGAAGACTATGTGAGAATGCTCTCAGGTTCTGTGGGCTGTTCTACGACGATGACCACCGGAAGCACAGGTTCACCTACCAGCATGTTACTTGGATGCGTTTCACTTTGCACAGGCATGGTGCTACTGAAGTCTTCAATGGGCTGTTTAGGCACACGACCACGTAGGTGCACAAGAAACTTGTTGCTTGGCCCATGGAACGATAATAACAGACGAGGTCAAGGGCCAGTGTGTTATGCACTGTGGGAAGCACCGACATGGGGCCCTGGACATTGAAAGCGGTGAGCGTGCATCTCTGCAGCTTGTTTGGCGTGAAGATTAGTCATTTTCAACATCGTAATTTCTTGTTCAAGGAGTTCTGTGTTAATTGATAAGGTTCCACTCGACGTTTGTATATACCGGGAGAAGGTTGGATTAGATCCATTGCCAGATTGTGTTTTCGACCGCGATTCGAAGTTGCATGTCCATCATGTCCGGTTTCGTCGCAGCTCAGGATAATCTGGACAAAGAGCCTCGCTTTCCGCCGGACTGCAGAGTACAAGCAGAAGTACGATGTGGCACGCTGGAACAACGGTCCTGCGGATACCATCTGCTTGAGCTACACACATGACGAAGACTACGAAGAGCTTATACCAGAGCACCTTAAGTTTCAGATGAGAGGTGCTGCTGAGAGTGGTGCCGACGATTCCCACAGTGAAGGCCCCGAGGAAGGCGAAGCCGAGTATACCTGGCTCCGTGTTTGTGCAGCCGATGAGCTGCAAGAGGGGAAGGGCTGCGCCGTCAGTCCACTGCATCTTAGATGCACTCGGGAAGAACATCTGAAACCTCAAAAGCCATCAAGGAACGAACGGTCCCATGGTCCCTGCATCGTGCAACCTGAGTTCATGTTATGGCAGAGTTGACAGGCCCGAAGGAAGGTCCCTGGATTGAGGTCGACATTCTGTAGGGTAGGGTTCTTCTTACAAGCAGGTGATCAAACTGCAACTGTTTTGCTTTGTGTTTAGGTTCTCAGGAAAGTCTGCCCGAGGCATCCAGATGGACATGAGATTGAGATCGCACTGTTCCGCTCCAAAGGGGAATTCTTTGCATTGCAGAGCCTCGGACCTGCAGTTGGGGACGTGTTTTCCCCTGAAGATTCGAAACTCCAGACTCACTATGGGACTATGGGAGCTGGGGCCTTGAGTGTTTAGGGTGGGGCGCTTGGGGACATCTGCGGCCACCCCGCGGCGAAACACACCAAGACGCAAGTGTCAAGCAGGGGAAACAAGTCCGACTGCGACATCTGGATAATCCGAGCGTCAAGCGCTCAACCCAGAGTTGAAGCCCTAGACGACCCGAACCCTGCAGCCAGTGATTGTTCGTGTAATCTCGCCGATGTCAAAACTATCCCATATGAAGAGCACATAACCCAGCGTGTTACGTATTCCCAGAATGCCGAACACCCTAAAGAACAGAAAAGCACTCGACGGTCTGTGCTCCAAAGCTGGGCTGCTCGATCCCAGGAACCGCTGCAGTCACATGGGTGCCTCCCTGGCCTCGGGTGAGATACAGGACATGGAGGACCGGCCTTTGTAGCCGAGCTTACTGTAAGCGTTGTAAGGGTGGACCCCGCCTTCATGAATCCCTGGTGTTTTAACGGCCATCGGTATTGCCATGGCCAATGGGCATGAGGACCTACAAAGGCAGAAGGTGTTCGGAGGCTTGGTTTATGTTCTCGCAGCCCTTCGCGTGTGTGATGGAGAAGGTAAGGTGCCAGATCTCTTGTGCTTGCTCTTGAATTCAATGTCAAGCCACCACCAAAAAGAGTCGCAACTGGCCAGTGAATTCGATGAACTCGTACAGGACCTGGCAGAGGGGAGCCAGCAAGCACCGGCTGTTCGCTGTCCCGGTCATGGGGCTTCGATCCTGCATTAATTCCTGCGCGGCTGTGCGTGTCGAAGGTATGCACCAGGCGCAGCCTGAAGTCCTGGGCTTGAACTCATAGGCTCTCTGCCCTAGGAAAATGTGGTGGCAACCGCCCGGAAAACTTTAGACCATGCTCCGGCTGCCTTTTCAGATTCAGTGGGTTCTGGCATGAGGAGTCGGGCTAGCTCTTTGCTCTGGGAACACTGTGTACAGTCAACGCTCAAAACCAGTATCTACTCTGTACATAAATGTGAGCAGAACCGGTCCGCGAAGCCATCGGTCTGTGGATTCCTACCAGGTTTGCTTCGACCTGCGCACCGGCGAGGGGATCAGCTCACAGTGGAGGCAGCAGTCCTACGCCACCCGCTTGTCGGGGGACGGTGAGAGCCTCAGTCGCCCTCATCTGCTCGTAATTCGCGCGATGGCACCTGTTGGGTCTCCCGTTCCAAGGTCTCGCCGTAGAAGTTCGAGCAGCTTGGCAAGAATATGCAGCCTTGTTTCGAGGAGCATGAGATTTTTCAGGATGCGTGCTTCAGGATGGGCAGATAGGGATCACTGTGTGCGAGCTGCGTTGCCTTTCAAGATTCATAGCCTTCTCGGCATCCCAGATTCCTGGACGACCCGGGAAGCGGCCGAAACGTACGGAAGCCAAGTTCTGCTTTTCAGAATTCGAGGGCAACATAGTCCCGACAGCTGGGATTTTTAGGTTCTCGTGCCTCGGCGATTGAGGACTTTCGTTGGGTCCTTCTTGGGGTTCTTCGTGGGCCGTGGTTTTGATATGTCGGAACAAGGTCCCAAGATCGGCTAAACTGGCGCTCGGGTTGAAAGGGCTCGGGATCCGGGTTTGCTGTCGAGCACTTTCAGGGGCCACCAACGCCACATACTGTTGATGGACAAAATTCTGCATGACCCAAATATAGTAGAGTACCATAGATCCCATAGTGTAGGTATATAGGGTCATGCAGGATTTTTGTCCATCAACAGTAGTGTGTTTTTCTTGCTTTTCGGCCTCAGAGTGTTGCGCCGGGCCTCGAGGTTTCTCGCAGTGCAGGACGGCTTCGTTCGAACTCATGGTGGGGTTGATCGTGAGTGAGGTGTCTGGGTCGGTATGACGGCAAAGTGCAGACCTGTCAGTACATTAAGCGCAGCCAGATTCAGTTATAGTTGCTTGTTTGACTGTATTATTCGATGATCCGCATCACCCTATCATCATTAGCTTCATTTTGTTTCAATGTCATCTCCTCTTCCCGCCTTCGCTGTGGGCTCCTGGAGGTTCCCGCGCCTCCCAGTCTGACCTGCATGCGACCTCGGAAAAAAAGAGGGCTCAGGGATTTGGGAGCTTGGAGCTTAAGGTTTCGAGAGCTTCGGGTTTCTAGGAGCGAGGGGTCGAAAGGGGCTTCAAGTTCAGGGGAGCTTAGGATTTTTGGGGCTTACGGTCTTGGGAGCTTAGGGCTTTAGGAGCTCTTTTTGGGTTTACGAGTTTAGGGCAAGGCCCTGGCGAGTTCGCACGTCAGGGTTTGACGGGTCGGGAAGGGTTTCATGGATGAAAGGGCTTAAGGAGTTTGAAAGGGCTGTGGGCCCATGAAAATCCAGGACAGGTGTGTGGCGAGATGGGCAGGCAATGGCGATTGTCCAAGACCTCCCTTATTCAGCAACAGGCGTAGGATACATGAACTCGCGGTCTTCAAAGCGAATTTAGAGTTATGGGTATGTGGGCTCCAGGCGGCAATAGTTGTGTCGTTTCTCTTAGATCTTAGATGTGACTCCTGGCTGCCGTCGTGAACCTTCAGCATGTTCTTGCTCTTTGACGGCCCCTTCACAAGATGCTTTTGTGTTGGGGCCAATCTTTCGATCAGCTTCACAGTTCGGGCAGGTTTATTTCGCCAGCTTCTGCGAGGGCGAGAGGCGTTCAGCCGAGCACCTTTCGCTTCCGAGCGCGGGATGGAATCTGACGGCCTGACGATCCACGGCCTCGAGGTGCATGGGTACGATTTTTACACGATCACGTCGCACGGCACGTCACAAGTTGTATGCACCCACCTACAGCCACGACAACACCAATGCGCCCAACGGATGTGCTGTTGGTTACCACTACTGTTTCTACTGCTACTGCTACCACGACTATCCACTGCTATCCACTGCTATCCACTACTACTTTATACTAGGTCAAGGCGAACATGTCGGAAGACGAGGCGGTGTTTGCAGTGAGAACTTCGGGGCACATCGATCGGTGCAGCGCTGTTCAACTCCTGGATGGGGGCTGCAGTGAGTAGGAAGCTATTCAAGCATCATTGATTGGTTCTTTCTCTACATCGGAACGAGCTTCTGAACCTAAACCCTAAGCCTTAAACCCTATACCGTCGGCCCATGTCGGCCCCAAACCTTAAGCTCGAAACTCTAAGCTCGAGGAGCTCTGGACGGACGCGGCGCGAGGCAACCTCACTCATTGGGCTGCCGAGGCTCGAGGCCTTGAGTGGTGAAGAGGAATTAGCAACATTATGCCGCAGGGTTGGTAACAGTATTCCCATATAGTCGCTATTAGTATCATTCATCATAGCAAGCTATACTTCAAAGCCCTAGTCGTATCATTCAGACCGCTTTTCCCAGAAGACAGGCTTTACCATGAACTTGTGGGTTGGGTGGTATGTGTTGGTTGTTGGCCGGGTTGCCCGTTTGAATGCATGACGGCAAAGCTCGTCAGTAGTCAAGACCGTCCAGAGCTGTCGTGGACGTGCCAAGTGGGTGACGCTACTACTACTACTACTACAACAACAACAACAACTACTACTACGACAACGACGACGACGACGACGGTGGGGGGAGGAAATCTTACACCGCCCAGATGTTGACTCATGATACCTCCGATCACCAAGACGCCGGACACCCTGTTTAACATTGATGATGGTGTACCATGTGGATGGTGCAGGATTTTTGTGAGTGGAACCTACGGCCCCTTCCCAGACCTGGACAGCAATGCTAAACATGGCGCGTGGGGTGCTCGCATTGTTGGTCCATTCAAAAGTGGTGCAAGATTTCCCCCATCAACAGTATTACTACTACTACTACTACTACTACTACTACAACCACTACCACCACCACTATTACCACTACCACTACTACTACTACTACTACTACTACTACTGTCTACTGTCTACTGTCTACTGTCTACTGTCTACTGTCTACTGTCTACTGTCTACTGTCTACTGTCTACTGTCTACTATCTACTATCTACTATCTACTATCTACTATCTACTATCTACTTCTACTTCCTACTACCTACTACCTACTACCTACTACTACTACTACTACTACTACTACTACCACGACGACGACTACTACTACCACTGCTGCTCCCGACGACGACCACTATAATGACGAGGACGGCACCACAACAACTGCTGCTGCTGCTGCTGCTGCTGCTCGTGCTGCTACTCTCCACCACTACCCATTACCCCTACTACTACGACTACCGCTGCTGCTACTATTACTGCCAGCACTACTACCGCTATCACCATTGCTGCCACCATTACCACTGCTATGACTACCGCCATTGCTACCACTACCACCGCTACCACCGCTCTACTGGGCTCTACCGTTCTTACCACTACTACCACTACTACCACTACTACCACTACTACCACTACTACCACTACTACCACTACTACCACTACTACCACTACTACCACTGCCAGCACTGTTACCATTACTACTGCTTTTGCCATCGCTACCACCACTACTACCACGCCTACCACCAGTACCACTGCTAGCAGTACTAGTACTCGTACGAGTACAACTACGGCTACGGCTGCGACTCCGATTACGATTAAGAGTACGACCACCCCCATCCCCATTGTTTCGCCCGGTCAGGTCGCCGGCCGGCCAACAGTGGCACGCTCCGATGCTCATCTGGGACATGATGCTCAGACCCGGTGGAGGGTGCTGACTTGCAGGGGCACTGCCAGCGCTTATCTGGAGCTCCTCTGATGCTCCTCTGGTCTCATGCGCACTGCACGTTTGAGGCTGACAAGATTGAGCTTCGGTCAAAATGGTTGTCAACTTTTATCTCATGTGCTTGCGCTCATGCTCCAAAGTCTTGAATTGCACTTACTCGTCGCATTGTACGCAGCGCAGCACCCGAAAATGATAGTTACGCGGTTGCCGGATGTATTCGCTGAGTCGACTCCTGGCAGGCCCAGAGGGCATTGTTGCTTGAAGTTTACTGTAGAGCCTTGACGCACCGAGCCACAAAAGACCCCAGGGTCTCCAGCACTGTAGACTCAGCCCTGACCCGCAAATCCGGCAGCCGTTTCGGCTTTTCGCCGATTCTGTGGAGACGCACTCTTGCTTCCTTTGCTGGCAGTTGGTTGCTCTCCTCCACCTAGCCTCCCGGCGAAGACTTTGCGATTAATACCCTGCGGGTTTAGTTCTGGGGGTGGTTTTGCGAAAGTTTCTCGGGGTGTCGTGTTTTGTGCACTGGGAAAATACATTTATTGATAAGGTTTTGGCTAGCTAGTACTTGTTCTGCTGTTTCGTGTGCAGTGGTGAGGCTAACAATGACTATGTCGCATTCTGCCTTGAGTCTTGTTACTGCTGCGATTGCTACCAGGATAGTGTACGGTATGCTATGCGTGTGGTGTGTTGCAGATCGCAATGCTACTGCTATCTACTGCTGCCCTGCTGTGATTGCTACTGCGATGGTGTGTTTTGAGCCCTTTTCCAGGTTTCAGCTGTTGATCTGTTCAGGTACCACAAGTGCTTGTGGTTGTAATCCTGTGATCCGATGCATTTCACAAGTTGAGAGCAACCTGTATGCACCCCTGCATGTGAGAGTAAACATAGGAGTGGTCTTGTCGCAGCCCAGGAAATTTATTAAGCATGCCGAACCCTTGGCTGTGCGTAGCAATGTCCGCTCTTCTTCTGTGTATATACATATATGCATAGATACACATATGCATACACGTTCAAACTATGTATATCACTAACACATATACTCATGTTTATTTGCACTTGGAGGTTTTATTTGCTGAAAATTACATTTAGCCATTTAATCCTGTCCAAGACAGACGCAAAAGGATTCGTGGATTTTCCATTGGAGACGCATGTCGGCCCTCTGTCTTCGTATTTCGTGGTTTGTTGTTTGTGGTACTTGTTTGCCATCGACGGCGTGCCATGTGGGTGACAAACAATGCATATACATACATATTGACGGAAGCATCAAGTCCAGCTCAGGATTTGGCCCCGCTATGGGCCTTATTGTTAAACAGAACGTCATTAAGCCCCCCCCCCCCAACCTCCCCACTTCAAGCAGGCGGAACGCAACACATCACCGAAAACAGGAAAGACACAAAACACAGACTGCGTGAACCGCAAGAGGCAACAAAACATGGTTTCAGGATGTCAGGAGTAGACCACACAGTCCACGTTTTTGCTGCTTAGGACGAAGTCGCAAGCAAAAATGTACGACCAAAAACGACGTCTTTTTGGTGCAACAAACAAAGAAAGCGGAAATGAGACATAACCCTCGGACATGCGGAGCGGAACCTGTGCAACAAGGCGAGAACCTCGCGCAGGACGGTGTTTTCGAAGTCAGCGATTTGGGCGGTCATGCCGTTTTGAAGATTAGGATCTTGGTTTCCGCTCAGCCATTGCTCGTATGCAGCTTCTCCATGTTAGGCTACAATGCAGCTTGTTCTCGTCACTTCGCTCTTCGTCTTTGCGGCCGCGCGTGTCGCGCCTCCACAGGCAAGGCCCGTCGCATGGTGCATTTCTGGCCACACCGGGTTCATGTTTGGATAGTTTACGGTATCTCCCTGAAGAGCAGCAGCTGCATAGATCGCTGCATTGCGGGATGCGGGAGCAGGGTCGTGGTGATTCAAGAAGCTTGAACATTCCATCTCGATTGGTCGATTCGTCGCGTGTGTATCAGGCTCGTTCCAGCCTTCTGCCGGAGGCGGGGCTTGGCATTTGCGGGGAGGCTTCAACTTGCAAGCTGCGAAAGTCGGCCAAGTCCCAGAGGGAAGGAGGGGTCCGGATGTTTGAAAGCCGGAGCGGGTTCATGTGTCAGAGGAGCACAGGCTTCCCGGCAAAACGCAGGGTTAAAAGATGACAGGTATTTTCTCTCGAAGGTTTGATTTCAGAACGTGAGTGTGGACAAACAGCAGTTGCAGTACCGAAGGTTTTATGGTCTTTCGCGAATACCACTCGCCGAAAAGCACAGAGGCTATGTTGACGTGCACAGGGAACTCTAAGTGAGTCCTACTGCAAATAATCGGTGCCTAAGTGCCTATGATTGATCCTAGTCGCATGGACGGGCATAGACTTTTTGGCCATTGCTATCAGCACTGATGTCATCACACTGCTTGTTTGCTCTTCTTCATTCTCATGGTTGCTGATTTCTTTTGGAGTCTCTGCAGAGCATCATAGGCCTCCAGCTCCAATCTCGGACGATCGCCCCAGCTCCCTGGTCTGCAATGGCCAGTTTTTTGATGGCATCAATTTCAGGATGGTTTTTGTCACTGTCATGATTGGGATGGTCATCATCATGGCTGGCGGTGGTAGTGGTGGTGGTGGTGGTGGCGCCGATGATGACTGTTTTTTTGTTAGCTCAGTGTATTTGTTGGTTTCATTTTGCCAGTGTTTTTCTTCGGTCCTTGTATGTCTAGCAATGTGTCGGTGTCTTCTACGATGACTACAAGCAACTGTGCAACTCGCTCCGGAGCTCCGGCCATCTTTTCCTGTTTGTATATTTTTAAATGTATCTTTGAAGATAGATGTCATATCTGGTGCTGCTACTAGTGCTCCGGCCATCTAATTGCTAGTATGTATATTGAAGTAAACATCATCTCCGTTGCTGCGCTGCGCTTGCCTCGATAGCGAGGCCTGCTCCAGGCAGAGGTAGGGCTGGTCAAGGGCTGCATCCACGGGTAGAGTCCCGCAGCGCGGGCAAACCGAGGTCGTGGTTGCAGACGAAGGGATCACCTGTCTCCGGGCTGCAGCACGAGCTTTCAGTCTTTTTAGCGCTTCAGGGGTTGAGCCACTCTTAGGGCCCTTGCGGGCCATGCTGTTGCAAAGGGTATGGGATTTATGGCCCAGTGCTGCTGATCGCACGGCAGCCACCAAGTGCTAGCTAGGGGCAACCTGTTGCGATGGCAGTGCCATCTGCAATGTTGGTGATGGTGGTCTTGGTGGTGACGATGGTAGGCTCGATTGTTGGTGACCATCCTCCTTGGAAAGTGCAGGCCCCGAAGTGCCACGACAAGAAAGCTGCTTGGCAAGAAATCGGTTGGATTGCTTGCTTTTCATGGATTCTCGTGAAATCCTACTCGTACACGGACGGGCCTCGCTTGAAGCCGCAGGGTTCAGGTAACAAGGATTGTGGAGCAGGCTTCAGTGGACAGATTCCGTGGGTCTACTCAGGTCGTTGAAGGAAGGCGCTCAGGCGTTTCAATCCCCTTGTGCACTCCATGCTGCCGAGGTCGTGAACTCGGCATCCGACAAGTTTCTGGCGTGCCCCAAGGCAGGCGTCCAAATTTTGGTAGTTGGCGTTTTGTTGCCTGCTTAAAGCGTCGTTTGCTTGCGAGGAGTGCCCTGTCTACGCTGACGACCGCGGCGATGACGTCGATTGTAGCTGGGCGAAGTTTCGGGACTTCCGTTGACTTGAGGTGCATAAGGCTGCCAACCGAGAAGGTGACTTGAGCAAGGCCCACTCTTCCCCAATAAGCTGGGATCCCGGCTTGATGATACTCCAGGGCCAATTTCGACGAGAGGATTGGAGCCTTCAGAGGTTCATGCAGGCAATCATCTACTCCAATTATGCGGCGAGACCATGGTTTGAAGAAGCTTCCTTAATGTGTGAAGACGTTTCGAGGAATGGACCATGTCATGCTGTGCAGTTCAGTGAGATATCCGATCATCTCAGGCAACTTCGAGTGTGTCGAGGCCACCCCTCAGGCTTGCACAGCCGTTAACAAGTTCGAGCCCATTCCGGACCCGAAGCAGCTCAGCTGATCTTGGGTCGTGGCTCGGAGACCTAGAACTGTTTGCGTCAAGCACAACCACAAAGTGTGAGAGAGGGGCGAGGTATCACCAGCCTTTGTTGATCCCGAGGATGGGAATCTGCCGTGCCTGCATCATCTACGGTTGTGCTGAGTGCACAACTGACGGCCAGGACACTTGTGCCAGGTGCGAGAGCGGCTACTCCGTGAGTGACAAGGGCACGTGCATCAGCAAGAACCGCTACTACTGGTATGCTCTCTTTGGTTTGCTGGGCTTGGTGGCCGTCTTCATCGTGGCCTGGGTTGTGGACATCTGCACTCGGCCAATCGTCAATGCTGACGGGCTCAAGGGTGCTCTGGACTACCGGTCACGGTCCAAGGTGCGGATGCCCAAGACCGGTCAAGAGGACGAGGGTCGCGAGCTGTGGCCGCTTGACACCAATCTGCTGCTGCAGGATGTGGCAGGTGTTGGAGTGACACTTCAGTTCAACTTCCAGCTATTCCTGATACTCTGGTCCGTAGCCATCGCAGTTGGCTGGTTGATGTTGTCGCTGTCTGTGGACGATGCGCTTCTCATCCTGGGAACACGCCGGGCCAAAACAGCACGCCAGAACTGTATTCTGGTGGCATGGGGTTTCGAGACGCAGCAGAGGCTGATGTGGACCAAGATCGACTTTTGTGTCGCTGCTTACGTGCTGACAACCCTGGCCTGTGTGCTCTTTGGAATTCGCCAGCTGCGCCTCTTCCAGAAGGTCGACATGACAAACTCGACACACAAAGACTATGCCGCCCGCATCCGCAACCTGCCCATGATGGACGGGACGGCGCCTGTCGAGGAGGAGCTCAAGAAGCGCTTGGAGGATGCCACGGGCCAGAAGATCGCCCGCTGCCTCAGCTCGAAGGGGGGTTCTACACATCAGCAAAGGTTACACACAACACCGTACACACTTGCTGCCGCGAGCTGCTAGCTAGACTCCAGGGGTGCGTGTGTGTGTGTGTATCCGAAGCGGATCTCGTAAGGGCTCTGTCAGGGGAAGTATGGTAGGTTGATTTGAGCGCGCTCACGAGGTGCGACTGGGCATGTTTTGCAAGCTTGCATGCCAGTCTAGTGACTAGTGGGCCATCAACCCTTTGCAACTGCTACTCTGGCTTTTGGCGCTGCCCTACCCCAGACCTCGTCTGGCAGTGTCCGAGTTGCGAGAGTGTATACCCGAAACTCGTGTGACATCTGATGCTCAGGTCGGAGTCTCGGTGTGCTGGGACTTCCAGGAGCACGAGGAGGCCGCAACCCGCATGCGAGACGGCAGACTTGCCTTTGAATCTATAGAGACCCTTATAGCCATCCTTGTTACAGGGACCCTTACAGGAACCATCTCCTAACCCTTTAAAGTAACGATAGAGTTACAGAATAAGACAGGAGCTCCTGGACCTGTTGCAGAGCCAGTTGGTGGAAAGGGAGCAGGAGTTGCACCCGGCCGCGAAGCGTGAAGTTGAGCCAGAGGAGCCGCAAGGCTTTTTTGCACGCCTCGAGCGGTCTGCCCTGGCCGCAGATGCAGAGAAGGTCGTGGCCAAGGGAGAGCCTCGCCTGACATCATGTGGTGTAGTAGGGAGAGACCCATGAGCCGACCTGCAATTGTCTCCTCAAGCCTCAAGTCTTTGCTTTCGGGCTGTCGCCCAGGAGATGTCGGAGGAGGAGCAGCAGAAGGCCCGTGAAGAGGCCTTGGCCCACCCAGAGGAGGAGAGCACTTAGTTCGGCGGAAGCCTTGGCATTCTCCGCAGAACCAGGCTAAGCGAAATGTGGCCCCCAAAACAGCTTTCGGTGATGTCTCGTGGAATGGAGCTTTGGGTGTCCAGAATTTGTTGTCTTGATCTAGGGGTGTTTCTTCAGGAGATCATCGAGGAGTGCAAGGAGGTGGACGTGGTTGAAATCCTGAAAAGCCTCAAGCACCCCGGCGGAAGCTGTCACTGCACCCGTTCCAGCGCACTCGAGCGTTATCGATCTCTGTGAATTCCTTCGGACTATAGTAGTGGCACAGAGCCAGGACCATCGAAGCTGCACCGTTTGCAGCGGGTCGTGTCAGATGCCTTCCACTTAGGGTATCATGAGTGGCGAGAGGGCCCTTCAGCGTCCTGGAGCTTCCCGTGCCCATTTCGAGCCATCAAAATCCAAAACCAGACCCTGGCGGCCCGAAATCGCTGGAGCCCCAAGCCCACTGAAGTGACAGTGTCTCCTTGTGGAATTGTGGAGCTCGGTTCATCGATCTGGTTTATATCTCGAGCGTCTTGGTGCAGCCCCGGAGACGAAGCACAAAAATACCAGAAAATGCTGTAACTTACTACATAGTACTGTAAACACTCTGTTATGCTTCTGTATCATACTCCTTTGTACTCCAATGGACTCCAACATACTCTAACACACGATGATAAACTACAGTATGCTATAATATACCATAACAAAGGATTTCGATCGTAAGGACCTGCCCGGATGCTTACGCAATCTTCGAGACGGAAGCCGCCCGTGACGATGCTGTGGAAGCGATCGAATCTTCGGGCCCCGCCCTGAGCAGCAAAGGTCTCATCATAATAATCATAATGCTAGTCAGAATAACACAGCAGCCAATCATTATAATGAAGATCACACGTGTAAAATCAATATCTATAGAGGTCTGAAAAAATTGATAGCATCACCTATATGGTCCCTTTATGGCGGCAGTATATAAGACACGCCAAGGTCCTATTGAAATTATGGAGTCTCGCACTGTTGTAGGGTGCAAGACGCAGCGGGCTGCTTTTGATGATGTGCTAGTTTTTCTATAGCAGTCGAAAAGTCAGTCCTTACTGTCAGCTTTGTCATCATGTTTAGTTGCAGTCAACAGAAGCAATGGCGAGTGCTTGCCGCAGAACACACGTACTCATGTTTCATCCATTTGCATGCGCCGTGTCTGCTGCCATCGTCCGACCCCATGCAATGGCTAAACACGAACAACACATTGCAGCTCTCAAACACCGCAGGAATACACGCTGGCCCCAAGTGACAGAATACCAGAAAGCAGGTGGCGTGGAGTTCCACGGGAACACTCTCCGTCTCAATTCCTCGCGCGTTGAGCCACAGACTGCCACCCATATGCACGGAGCACTGTGCTTCAGGGCTCCGCGTGTGAGGTGCCAGGTTGAGGAATTTGGCTGTAGGGCTCAAGGTCGATGTTGAGGGTGTAGAGCGTTCGTAGAATGGCCCAGTGCCCGCGTGAGTTTAGGAGTTTGAGACGCTGGTCGAGGGTTGTGAAAAAAGCGAGACAGAGGAAGACCTTTGGAGAGCGGGCCGGTTGTTGAAGATCCTGGGACTCTGTTCCGGGGGAAAATCTCCCGCGCACTGACTGAGTGGCTTTCAGAGTCGCACCAGTGGCCAGTCGTTGTTCGACTCTGTTAGCCCGCGAGTGATCTCTGAGGTCAAGTGGCCGAACTGTGCCAACACCAACTTGCTAGTCAAGGCAAGGCGTATCGCGATGGGTGGCCCGGATGGCAAGAGACGTCAATCTGCGGAGTCCTTTTATCTGGCTAGGAGGTTCATGTTCAAAGTCTGGCCCTCTCAGATGTATGCAACAGGCCTAAACCCAGACCCTGACCTGTACACAAAGTAAAGCCAGTGCTTGTTTAGACATCTGAGTTTGAGGGTGAGACTCGAAACCTTCCGAACCGTAAGATCCCTTGAGCTCGGTCCTGCTTTCAACGAGGCCTATGCGTTGCAGGCATCCCGATTCAAGGGTTTACAGACCGATGTCAGGGACCGCCAAGTGGCAAGACATCACATCGCAAGCGAGGAATGTGCATCATGTTCGCTGGACTGGCCCTGTGGGTGGTGGCCTTCTACCTGCCCTATGCCTGGTTCACTTTGACTTTCAACTACTCCTATGGCCAGGACGGCCTATCCTTTCTTATTGTTGCTTTGAACTGATCGGTTCTCGTCGTTCGGTTGCTGTCGTGCACCCACACAAGTCCTTTGAGTGTCGCCAAAAGCCTCGACACCCAATCCAACATTGGCGGCGCCTACCTACTAAGCCAAAATGCAGATAAGCGTTAAAATCCCAATCAAACCCGCAATCGCAAGAACCCCAAACACCAAGCCCCACCCCCAAAAAGCCATACCGGTGTGAGCGCCGAAATCCGAAACCCCGAAACCCTAAACCCAAAACTCGGATGTCGTGAAGCCATGCCTGCCTTGTGCAAGTGTGTGAGTCGAGACCCTAAACGCAAGACAGAAGAACAGAGAGGAGCCCGGTTTCGTGGCCGGCATGACCTTCTCGATGGTGGTTGTGGCCGGCAATGCCTTGATGTACCTGGCTACTCGAGCAGTGGTCTTTTAGCCTTCGATCTCGAGGATTTTAGAGGAGACTGCTCGAAATCTCGACCTTAGGAGGTACAATGATTTCGAAAATGGATTAATTGAAGCTGAGGGACTGATTTCATGTAATCTTAGATTGACGCCCGCGGTGATATGGCTAAGGCCTTGCGCCCTATTTTTCCTATGTTTACGTCTTGAACAGGACAGGCGTTGGAGTGATCCGGGTCGAATAGCTGAATAGCGGAACTTCCTGGAAGTCAGGGACACCAAGCCCAGGTTTGCAGCGAGGTGGCAGACCGCACTCGCTTTATCTACATCGACGACCGCGAGGCAGCTGCTGCAGAAGATGAGGGTCTTCGATTCCAGGTCTTTCTTGGCATCAGTCCGAGCCGAACAAAACTCATTTCAAGATTAATTGGTTTCGACTCCAAAGTCTTAAGCCACAATGCGGACGCGGTAGAGGCCACATCAAAACCGAGAGGACGAGTAGAGTCTAGAAGTACGAAGTACTGGTGGCAGCGGTGGTGGTGATGATGTTGGTCGCGAATGCGGCCGTCGTCACTTGAAGCTGATAACGATGTTGTTGGGGCCAGGGCTAAGGACTCCGGAACCGACCAGCAGTAGATGCAATGTGCAAGAGCATGTCCGATTGCGTCTTCGAGAAGCCGCAGCTCGACATTCAAAACATACGATCGTGTACGGGAGTGGTCTAAGTCCGGTTGGACATGTGACAGATGGAGGTATCTACAAGCCGAGCTGTACACTTCCTTTGAGCAACTTGCTACTACTAAGGTTCTTCCGAACCACTCCTCAGCAGTACTTACTAAATTCAATCCCACTCTGTCGAGGCACGTTGAATGTGCATGCTAGTGGTATGCGGTCCAGACATCCGCAAGCCCGTTACAAGTTTGAGAACATGCCAGGCACATGTGTTGTCGTCGTGCCACCACCAGTAATCACATTTAACTTTGTGCAAAAAGACTGTGACTCGTGCGGTTGCATCAGCTTCGGAAGCTCTTGTCTTGGTGGGTTAACACTGTTAAGACTGGAGCCGGCAATGCCGGGCTGTCGGGTTGTTCGTTGAGGCAGCAGCCAAGAACACAGCTCCAGACATGATCCGGCCAAAGCAATCGAGCAATAGTTTCTCCGGATCATCCGCGAGGTTTGCTACATGCTTCTTTACTGCTTCGCCTGTGTCTTCAACGTTGCACTGGATCTGATCACGACCTACATGGTGGCCTACAGGGTGATGTCCTTAGGAACGCCTTGCGGTTTCGCTTGACCAGAGCAGTGTTACATTCAAAATGTGGCCTGGAAGCAGATACCAGACAGTATGTCCGAATGACACAGCAGTCTGCGAGGCACTACTGTAGGCTTGTTTCGCTTGAGAGCTCAAGAGATGGGCATGAGGTTTATTACATCTGAGCTTCTGGAGCCTTAATTTCTGATTTGTCGGCTGGGACGGGCTTCGACAGAAGGGGTTCTCAGAAAGATGGGAGTGTGTGTCAGACCTTCCTGGTTTCATGTGGAGCCTGCTTGAGGTGAACGTGGGCCTGCGCATGAAGACCTACGATGGCACCCTGCTCCTCGGACGCCTTTGCTGACAATGCGCTGTGTTGCCTTCGATCAAACACGCAGGCATGCCATGCCCACCGCCTGTGTTTTCTCAAGCCGTTTCGTTCTGACTCCAAATTGAAAATCCTTCATGGGCGTTTTCACATTGGGGGGAATCTCAGAAGCCTCATAGTCCCTGCTTGGCACCGTGCAGAGAACGCAGCTCCGGGCGGGGCGCTGGGAACTCTAATGTTGGCAATATGATATAAGATAAGACAATATAATAGGATAAGAGAATATAATAGAAAAGGTAAAGGAACACGGTATAATCGGTTATTTCATATTGTTTCATATTCTAGTGCAGTGTTTAGTTTGATAAACTCAGTTTTTATCATACACTGTAGCATGCGGGCATCGTGGCTCAGGTCATCTGCCAGCAGAAGGCGGGAGGCATACACAAGAAACCTCTGCCAAAACCTGCCCTAAATCCCGAGTCAAAAGAAACCCTAAGCCCTAAATCCTATGGTTCCTCGCGCCTGGCTTGTCCGAGTTGTGAGAGCGTAAACCTCAATCCTAAACCCTTAACACTAAACTCGGTATCAAACCCTAAACCGACGCCCAGAAGGCTCAAAATGCCGACGGAACGGAGCCCAGAACAGAAACCTTTACCTGAACTACACCATACCAAAGCAAATACAGGGGATAGGATAATTGCCAGTAGTTCTGAGTTTACCGTGCTATACCCCAAAACCCTATTCTGTAACCCAGCAACTCAGGCTGAGCAACCTCCAGTCATTCTCCGACCGCTTTGAGTCCTATGCCATGCAGCGCACTTTGGCCAACAACCTCTACGCCTATGCCTTCCCGGTGACCCGGCCTTGTGTGCCATTATGCACGGTACTACTATTGACTTCGTCTGTACTGCTTTTGTTCTATTTGTTTCAGTTTATTTGGCATTCTGCCTTTGGCAGCAGCAGGGGCTCCGGCGATAATATTTTTTGGAATCAGTTTGCTAATACCCAACATGGCAGCAGGATCTGCACCGTGAACCCTGTGACACGCGTCCATTGCCGCATACTGTGATGTAGAGCATTGTTTGTAGCAACATGTGGATCCAGCGACATGCCTTAGACGAGAGCCTGAGAGTGTTCCAGCAGCAGGCCGAAAGAGCGTCATCTGTTAATCGCTTTCGGCTCTGCGCATATACTTCGGAGTGGCATCCACTAGGATCGAGGTTATGTGGGACAGGGCTTCGGCAGGCAAAGGCTTCTGTGGGCCAAAATGAAAGGCGGCATACGTGTACACGATGACTATGTGCCCGGGAACACAGTTTGGTTCGATTATTGCCGTTGTCGTCGTCGTCGCCGTTGCTACTGTACCATCACGAAAACATGCATAAGACTTTCCATTTTACAGTTTCACTTTACTGTTTCAGCTGAGGCCACCTTCTTGATCCCCTTCTTGATTGAGCCAATTGCGACCATCTACGCGCCCTACAAGCTGATGGTGCCCCGTCTCGTGATCTCGTAGTACTGCATGGTCCGAATCTCCGCTTCTGCTTCTTCCAGCAAGTCTCTACTCGGATAGTTCCGTGACCCACAAGTCCTGAACCGTTGTTCCCAGGTGCTCATCGTCCGTACTCAGCCCCACATCAAGGGCTTCATGGCCGAGAATCTGCTGGGCGGATTGGTGTTTGACCTTTCGTGCCTTCGTCTCAGAAAGCTTTCGGGGACATAGGACATTGGATAGCGGATAGATACTCAGGATCTCTTGGTCCGGCTGAGGCTTTGTGCCGACGGCCGTGTGGGGTGCAATGGACTTCGGCTTGGAACTTTGCAAAACCCACCCAAAAATCATTGGTATACAAAGCTCTAAACCCCAAAAGCCTAAGCATCCTTTAGCCATCTTGCAACCAAGCATGCACAAGATTAGGCGCTACGCAGACCTCATGCTCGATGCGATGATCGCGGTCCTGATTTTCTTCTTCCCCGGCGGGTTCAACATCCAGACGCTTGGTTGCCTTGGTCTAATCACGCTTAAGCACGGGTCGCTTGGTGCTGTGATGGAGGCGGATCTGAGCCTGTGAGGTTGGGAGATTTAGCTTTGCACCCAAGCCAAGTGCAAGCAGTGGGCTGCGATTCCTGCTCAACTTCTCGTCGGAAGTGAAGCCCTGAAGCGCAAAGTGCCGCTCTGGGTAAGGATGTTCTTGGGCATGGCACTCTCGCACATGTACATCTACGCCTTCGACCACTACAGGGTCCTGCGATCCATCCAGAGCTGCAACTACACGGCTGCTCGCCTGAGGTCTCAGTGCAACAATTTTGATACGCTTAACGATACTGATAGTCTTACTTCTCATCACAGCAACGATGATTAGCCGATTTTGATGATGAGAAGAGCAAGCATGCCGGGACGGCAGGCAGGCCAACAGCTGAGATGCATGTGAGTCGCAAATCGTGAGGCCCTGAATGTGAGCCGAAACAAATAAACCATCCTGAATCCTTAGCCCCATTGGCTTTGTCCTGCGGTGCAACTTGGTTAGCTGGGCACTGGTGGGACCCCTGCACCCATAGAATTTTCAGGCCTAAATTTCTTCAGGGGTTCATGGCCGCAGACTGATGCTTGTCTGACTCGCGCTTCACGTTTGAATTTATCAAGGCGTCCAACCTAGTTCCCTGGTAGCTCGAAAGCCGTGGCAGCAAAGCTGCTAGGGGCCTTTGATTTTGCTTGAAGTTTAGTTTTCGGTTCCAAGGGGACTCAGCTTACAGGCGATTATGTCATGAGAGAGTGAGAGGATGCTCATGAGAGTTGTGGAGGTTTCTAGTATTTTCTCATGCTGTGAAGTTGTATTCAAGCGGCTTTTGGTTGAAGGAAGAGCTCAACGCGGGATTCCAGAGAAGTTGCTATGCCCTAGTATGTCACGCACCTCTGTCTGTGTCCCGAACACCATGCCGCACTGATCGCACTGTGAGGATAAGATGGTGGACTGGTGGTCGCAGTGGCTGCTTGGCATCCAGCAGAGAAGCATGGCAGCGGAACATGAATGGCACAAGACATAAGTCTGTCAATACACTCCTCCGGGACACTGAGCTGCTCTCAAGTCGGGAGCGGATAGCAGCCGCATCAATGATCACTCGGCAAGGCTCATGTGCATCCCCTGCGGCTGCATGCTTGCTTGCTTCGTCTTCAAGGCCCGGACCATCACTTCTGCCAGTAGCAGCCTTGTGCGGCAGACCTGACGAGGTTTGGTAGTAAGGCCGACTCTTGTACTTGGAGCGGCCGCTGTCCTGCTCATCACGCCGCATTCGGTTTTCATCTCTGTCATCACGAGATCTCCCATTTATTCACCATCTCTGACTCTGGCTTGGGCCATACTGCGCCTGGCGATCAGCAGGCCAACTGCCAGCCCGGTTACTTCTGCATGGAGGGCGATTCAATGGTGACCGCCTGTGCCGTCGCATTCTTCGCCCACATCTTCCTGTCCCCTGGCATCCACCTGGTAGGTTGAAAGCGCAGGCATGGTCGTAGTGCACGAATTTCCAACAATACCCCAAAGCCAAGAGCCTCAATCCTGTGTAGGCCCTCAGCGAGGCAAGTCATGCACTGAAACTGTTCACATGCAGCCACTCCTATTCGGAGATGCTGTTGGCTCTAGGTAGGTGCAAAGGTCATCGTGCAGAGGCGTGAGACTCCAAGTCGCGAAGCTGACGGAGCCTAGGCACACACTGCTGTTGAAGTTCGTCGTGCCCATGTTCGGATTGCCGCTGGGCGGGAAGTCGAAACCGACTGTGCAAAGGTTTCTAGGTGTGATGACCATCGAACACAGCTCTGCTTCTTGCACTGTTCCGTATCTCGTTGGAACAACTTCAATGCATGTCCATGCACGGGTACGCCTAAGTTGCTGATGCTGGTGCTTGCCATGATAAAGACGATGTTTGTGTGTGATGATGATGATGATGATGATGATGATGATGATGATGATGATGATGGCGACGATGCTGATCTTGTTGTTCGTGCTGCCGGTATTGCTGCTGATAATGATGGTGGTCCGTGTTGCAGGCATGGTGATAGTCACGGCGCAGGTTCTCTAATGAGCTTATTGCTGGTATCGGTACTGTTGCTGTTTTACGTTGGCGGAAAAATTGTTGCTTTGGATGGTATTCTTTTCTGATATGGCCTACTCGTGCCTAGTCATTGCCATTGTTGCTGTGTCGCCGTCGTCATAAAGTCTTTGTTGCCGCCGGAACGGTCACCGTCGCGATTGTTAACAGAAGCACCGCGTTGCCATCGCCGTCCTCTGGGTTGCAGCTGCGAGGTTATTGGGAGCGAACATGTGCGAGTGATCTCTGCAAGTTGTTGCTGTTAAAACGCATTCGGCCCGTGAGATTCTCGCTGAATTCGATTGGCTTTCAACCTTGACCGGGCTCTCGGAGATACCCTGCGGGAAGGACGGGTGCATCGGATGGCGCGGACACCAACAGCTACAAGGAGAAGACGTCCCAAAATGCGGGTGCCGGCATTCCGCATGTCCCTGTAGCAACATGCGCCTAGTTGGACTTGCCTGTCTGAATGAGTCCCTGCCTTGTGCGAGTGTCCGTCCGAGTCGAGACCCTAAGCCCAAAGCCATAAACAAGAAGATGGGAGGATTGCTCTCAGCGCCTGGCCTGCTCCTGGTTCACGGCAAATCCCGCCGAGCCGCCGTGATTCCCACGAGCCAGTGCCTTACTACACTATACTATTCTACATTATATCACACTATACTACACCATACCGGACCATACCACATGTCACTACACCATACCATGCTAAACTACACTTTGCTACGCTACAACAATTTATCCCGCACTACACTATACGATGCGACCCTACCCTATACTACACTGTATGATACACATTACAGTGTACGATGCTATACAATATGCTATACTATGCTATGCTATACTATGCTACCTCAGACCGGAGGATACGTACTACGCTATATGATACGTGCTACTTTATATGATGCATATTACACTGTATGATCCCATACTCAAATTATTGCTTTTGCTATTATTTTTGCTAGTGCTACTACTTTCACTGCTAGTTGTGCTTTTACTGGTTCTAGTAGTATTGCTTGTGCTGGTTCTAGTACTAGTACTAGTACTATTACTAGTACCTGTCCTTGCACTAGTGTTCTACAGTAGCAGTATAAGCACTAGGACTATTGAGGCAAGCGAATGTGTGTTTTCGAGGTGGTCGCGGCGAGTTTCTGGAGCAAGGTATGGTGCAGTCATGAGAGCTGAACCTTCGTATGCTCAGGCATTCAGGCGATTGCACAAGCCCTGATGCAAACCACCACTAGTACTAGCACTAGCACTAGCACTAGCCCTAGTATTATTACGATTACGAGTACGGCTTGCTGTTGCAATTACTAGTATATCCCCACCATACTGTGCTACACTGTATGATACGTACTACACTATATGGTGTATACCTTACAGTACCTTATCAGATTGTTATTCTTACTATCATTATACCTACAGTATACCATTCCATGCGTCACCATACTATATGCTACACTACACTACACTATACTTTGCTAATGAGATTATACAAAAGTATACTATACTATACTTTGCTGTACTCGGTTCCACTCTATTCTACTCTAATACCGAAAGTCAAGAAGCAGCCCAGCCAGGTCTACTGCCTGCGATCGCAGTACATTTACAAGCACAGCCCTCCTTGCACTGCTTCTGCAGTTGGGGATTTGGTGGTTTTGCTTTGGGCCTTTGGCTGAGATCGAAGACATGTTAGTTCGGAGCCACGGTCTCCAGAGTAAGGGCCACTTAACTTAGGTTTGGAGACCGCAGGAACCTGGTTTGTTTCTTCAGGCTTTTGTTCGTCAGTCTTGGTTAGCTTTCCTGCTTTCCTCTCGCCCGGATTCACGCACCGCCTTCCATGCTGGCTGTCGGGGCTCAGTTTCTAGAGTGACTTAATGGCATGGTGTGCAACCCGGAAGCCTCAAGGCACTTACTACATGCCCGGCAAAGAGCACCTTATCGAGAAGAACGAAGAGAAGCTTGGCCCTTTCCTGGCAGCGTCGTCAGTTGCAACGTGCATACTTTCCCGAAAAAACCAAGTCGTAAGTTGCTTCCTCTACTGTTTCACCCTCTGCCCAGGATCGGCCTCTACTTCAAAGACTGCCCGGCCAAGGATGAGTGAAGTATCTGTCTTTGCCTGTGGCTGCTGTGCTCTCCACACAAGTCTATTCAACAATGAATGGGAGCAGGGATCGGACCTCTGGGCTAGTGCTCATCAGGGAGGTTCTTGGCAAAATCGACCTGCAGGTCATATTCAGGGAGCCCGGTGTTTTGAAGGCATGCTGCAGCAAAGGCGCCTTTAGAATCCACCCAAGACACGAGGAGGAGGACTACGACGCCCCTCATGTCGACACGGAGGCTCTCAAGGCAGGAGGGCCACTGCCGGGGTCTGGAGCAGCCGATGGCAGCTGCAGTTTGAATACCCAAGAAGAAGATAGAAGAAGTATGCACAAGTGAAGAACACATCGAAGGCGCCCGCTTGCCAGTAGCATGACGTGGTGTCATTTAGGCAGGCGATGGCAGGTGCAGAATCATATCCTTTGCATCCGTCTCCTGGTAGGCCCATGTGGATGACCTGAAGGGGAAAGTGTCGGGACAGTTCGGCGAGCTGACTCAGAAGGTCTCTGGTAAGTTCGAAGATATCAAGGCCATCTCAATGCACACGACAGTTGATTGCCGTTTATGATGCTGTAAAATCGTCTTAGACCGAATGCTTGGACCGCTTAACCGCGCTGTCACAAGGAATGTAGTATTACCCCGATGCATAGCTCTGGTAGCCGAAGTCCTTTAACATGCTCTTTTGCTTTTGGCATTGGCTACTGCTGCTGCCGCTCCACCTGCACCTCCTCCCCCTCCTCTTCCGCATCCTTCTGCCACTGCTACAAACAACTGCTGCTGCTCCTACGACGACGACGACTACTGCTACGACGGCGACGACGACGACTGCTGCTCCTGCCGCTCCTCCTGCTACTGCTACCGCCACCACCACCACCACGACGACGACGACTACTAATACCACTACTACCACTGCTACCACCACTGCTACTACTACTACTACTACTACTACTGCTACTCCTACTTCTACTTCTACTTCTACCACTACTACTACTACTACTACTACTACTACTGCTACTACTACTACAACAACTACAACT